CCTAGTGACATCCGTCACGACTCGCCCCATGTGGCAGCTTATGTTGAAGCTGACAATGAAAAAGCACTTCAGGATGCACTTGACCTGTTAGATAAGGAGCGTGACCTTGTGGCGGCTCGTTCGGCGATTTACCAACAAGATCTGTGTCGTTATCACAGCCGCTGGGTTAAAACAAGAACCTTTCAGGAAGGTGACTTGGTGCTCCGGCTTATCTAGGATCAATTTGATATGCACAAGCTATCCCCATCTTGGGAAGGGCCCTTTGTGGTCAGCAAAAATCTGAACAATGGGTCATACTACCTTATCGATGTTCAAGACCACAAGGACCCACGCACGTCGGAGGAGGAGACCCGTCGGCCATGGAATATTGCTCATCTTCGGCCTTACTACACATGAGCCACTGGCTTTTATGATGCACATATTATGATAATGTATATATTATGATGAATATAATAAAGCCGGCTTCCCTGTTAATTCAGGGCCTCTGTCGTTTCATTCCTGAGAATAATGAGTATTTATTGTCATGATCACTTGGGAGCTTCCTGCTCATGGAGCATAGCTATGACTACTCTTTTGGTCCGGCTTGTATGCCATGATTATAAAACACTTGGGGGCTTCCTTCTCACGGAGCATAGCTATGACTACCCTTTTGGTCCGGCTTGTATGCCATGATTATAAAACACTTGGGGGCTTCCTACTCATTGACTATAGCTATGACTACCCTTGTGGATCCGGCTTATATACCTGGAATAAATTGTTACTTGGGGGCTCTTTATTCAACGGACAAGAGTTTTTATGACCCTTGTAATAGGCTTGGAAGCCAGGTGTATTCACCTAAAAAACCGGGTTGACCTGCCTTTTTTAAGTATGTCACTCCGCCTAGATTGACTGGAATGACTCGCCATACTTTTGACAAGTCAATCTTATGCAGACCCTGAACTTGTCAAAGTTAAAACGACGATTGGTCATGTGAGGACAGGCTTATAAGGTTTGCATGAAGGTTTAACTCAGCGGTTGTGCGGCCCTTTGAAAGCACTTGATTTTTAGCCTTGGCAGCCTATGAAAAGCCTTGTTTTTTTATTTATATTTGAAAAAAATTTGAGGTTCATCTCTTGTGACATGTTAATACATGGTTGAAAATCAATGAAGGTTATGATGCCTTATGATGACATTATCTGGTGTTTATTTACCCGGCCTGGCTTTGAACTATAAGTCGCTAGTATATAAAGATCTTATATACCTGGAAGCACTGTGCTCCAAGTTTTGGGATATTACCTCTTGCTGTACATGGCGTTGTAAGCCGGCAGTATATGATAATTGAGCAATGTATTATATGCTCAATCTTTTGGGTTGTCACCCTTATTGCGCTGGTATGATAAGCCGATAGTGTGAGCAAATATCACAGGTATTCTATTTTTATTATGATTATATATGGTTATGATTAAACCGACCCTGGTTATGGACTGTTTTAGTCACCAGTGGTATTCTATGGGATATTATGACCTGTCCTGCGGTAAACCGCCTTTCTTTGTATGCAGGAATAGACTCAAATTGATAATATTATAAGCATAAACTCCTGTGTCCTTTGTCCCGTTTAACCCCTTTAAGCTAACCTAGTTGCGATGGCTCCACGACTAAGTCCTTTCACTAGGACATCTGTCGTGACAATTCCACGACATTAGTCATGACCAAGCGGTTGTACCGCTGCTCCCGGGCGGTGGTACCGCCACCGTGCTTAAATTTGACTGGGGTGTGTCTCTGGCGGTTGTACAGGCCAAGTACCACCCAACAACTGGTCTGGTTCCTGTTTTGATGCGGTACTTGGGCGATAGTGGCTCGGTTGTGCCCCGCACACCGGTACCACCGGTGCCCCAAGCGGTTCTACCGCTTGGGACTTAGCCACCCAAGTGACTAGGGCCAGGTGGTTGCACCGGTGCTATACCGCTCGATCACCACACACAGGGGTGACACCCTACTGTTTCAAAGCGGTGGTTGAGCGGTGGCTGGGCGGTTGTTCCGGTTGTTCTCCATAACCGGTACTACCGGTCGTCTACCCGGTTATACCGCTTGATAGGGTTTCTGCAGCGTACCCGTGAGTCCCGGTTGTACCAGGACAAGGAGCGGTTGTACCGCTGCGGGGCTGTTTTCGCAGTAACAGTTGGATTTTAGGGTTTGGTATATAAGGGTGGTTCTTCCACCTACCACATTTACCTCTTGCCTCTCTCACTCCACCATTAATGACACTCAACCTCTCTTGCCTGATCTCTCTCTAGCCACTCAAACTTGTTGATTTGCTAGGGATTGAAGGAGGAGACCTAGATCTACACTTCCACCAAAGAATATTTGCTACACCCATACTTTCTTGTGTGGATTTTGTTACTCTTGGGTGTTTGAGCACCCTAGACGGTTGAGGTCACCTTAGAGCCACATTCCGTTGTGATGAAGCTCCGTGGTTTCGTTGGGAGCCTCCAATTCAGTTGTGGAGAGAGCCTCAACCTTGTTTGTAAAGACCCGGTCACCGCCTCCATGGACACCAATAGTGGAATCACAGCATCTCGCATTGTATGAGGGCGTGAGGAGAATACGGTGGCTCTAGTGGATTCTTGGGGAGCATTGTGCCTCCACACCACTCCAACGGAGACGTACTTCCCCTCAAAAGAAAGGAATTTCGGTAACACATCCTCGTCTTCACCGGCTCCATTCTTGGTTATCTCGTACCGTTACTTGTGCAAGCTTATATTGTGTTGCATCTCTTGCTTTCTTGAGTGCTCGTTATTGTTGCATCATATAGGTTGCTCACCTAGTTGCATACCTAGACAACCTACTTTGATGCAAAGTTTAAATTGGTAAAGAAAAGCTAAAAATTGTTAGTTGCCTATTCACCCCCTCCCTCCCTTTAGTCAACTATATCGATCCTTTCAAACCTGGTATCAAGTAACAACGAAGTACTCCTTTGCGATTGCGATTAAAAGGAGGTCAAAATCTCAATCTCGAAGCTTTGTGATTCCATTATCTAATAGGTGTTGCGGAGTCCGTGCGTGTGATGGTGTGTGGCTATGTTATATTGGTGTTTCTATCAAAAAGTTTTTTAAGGGAAAATACATGGTTGCTGGAGCAGTCAGCAAAGTGGAAGGTGGGTATTTTTTTTGTGAGAACAGGAAGAAGGAGAGAGATTGAATTCAAATAAGTTTTTTTAGAATGAATTCAAAGAAGTTTTTTTTCCTCAGAAAGCACATAAAAGGTTATAATTATCTAACATAACGGAATGTTTAAAGTAAATCATCACTGCGACCTTAGTTGAGTTTATTAACCCAGCCACATGAGCCTCCACTAGGACGATTCTCATGTAGCCGTGATTTCTCTGGCTTTACTTTTAATGGTCCTTTTGAGGAAAATGTTATTGGCATAAGAAATCTGAATTGGATTCCTAAAAGAAGGAAATCTGAATTGGCATCAACAAGTTGCAAGCAGTTGAAATTCTCCATTTTCTTCTTAATTTTGTGTTCAATCCCTTTATCTGTCTTGTTTTATGTTAATATTAATGATGATACCCAACTTGCAGTTCTGAAATCTGAACCTGTGATTTGATGAGGACTGTGGTTGCTTCCAGTTGCCTGCCACAGTGCTCACGGTTCAGCTACCATTATTTAACCTACCAGTGATGTCTGTTTGTACTTTGTACCATGATTTCAGAACCAAATGCACTTCCAAGGTTTGACCTTTTGTGCAAAAAAATTCTGAGCCTTTTTTTTTGAAAAGTTGCAAACTGACTGTTGCATTTGCTGTATTTGACCCCCCAAAAGGAGAGGGCTGCTGCACATTTACAGAAATGACTGGTTGATTGTTCATGGAAAATAGGTATTCAGATATTCTTTTTGTATACATTCGTGACCAGATAACCAGTAATATCCATATAAATCAAGTGTGGATCACTTGCTCTGTTCCTGTGATGTGATGCCTATGGTTCCTGGTTACAGAACATATTGTGGAAGTGAACAGTATAAAGTTAATGGTCAAGGATTGTGCCATGAATTTGCCATTTCTTTTCATCTTTGCGCTTCAAGCAATCTGTTCCTAACTTGATTGTTCTTTGCAAATTTCTCTCTTCTGCCCCAAGTGCATCAGACAGGAACCGTGTCCTCGGAGGTTGAGGGGGTGGAAGGCACGCAAAATGATCTTCCCGGCCTCTCCGTGGCCAAAGGATTAAGCAAATCTGCGCAGAACTCAGACGCCAAGAGCTTTCCAGTGAGTATAAATGCACTTTCGCTTCACCGCACTTGCTTTCATATATACTCGTGGCCCCTACTTTATCCAAAGGGTTAAGCACTAATAGGCAGTATTAATTAAGGGGCAACTTTCTCAATAAAACATATTCTCGTAATCGATAGCGATCCATAAGCATTTGCAAACAGAGCAAAACGGCAACGTTAAAACTAAATTTCTATTCAAGGGGGAAATCCTTTTAGTATTTGGCGCGTGACAAGGCAGTGATGCTGACCTGTTAGCTGGAAGTAAGGATAATCTCAAATGAGCACATTTCATGCGCCCCCAAAATATACATTCTTTTTACGCATTTGTAGAACTGCTCAAACCCCCTACTTTGCACTTAGAAAAAGAAGTCTTGTGTACTCCCTCCTCTTATCTCTCTGTCTCTCTGTTTCTCTCTCCTCAATGATCTTTTTGCTGGGAGTACTTGCCGTCGCAGCAGCGAGGCCAGAGGGCGCCCAATGAGAGATGAAGTGCTGTTACAGTTACGGGGCAGTATAGTAGGAGACAGGTCTCCTGACAGAGAAAGCCCCACCACATCCTTCCCTTATCTCCACTCTCCTCTCACCGTCTCTCTCTAGCCTGTGGAATCTGAAAAGAGACACATGCTCGTAGGGCATGTTCAAAAGGACACAATATCTTCTTCGCGGTACAGTGGTAGGTGAAACTCCAAGGGCGATTCGATTTGACAGTGTGGGAGAAGACAGACAGGAGAGGAGGCAACATCCTATCATATGGTATGCTCCTCTTCTTTCTCCAATCTATCTATAGTTTCGCTGTATACTTGAATACATCGTAGTACTTCCTACGTACATGCATAGCTCTCACTGGCCTACTGTTCACTTGTTGCAGAGTAGAGTTCTTCCACTCATTGCCATGCTGCAGCAGGGTGAAGGAGAGAGTTCTTGGGGGATGGCCAGTGATCGTGGTAGAGCTGTACCACTCGGCCAAGCTCTTGGATATGGAATCCAAGGCCATGCTCCTCCCCCTGCTAACTTCCTGTACTGCTCCTCCTTCGCTCTCTAGTCTATATCTCTCTCTCTCTCTCTCTCTCTCTCTCTGCTGTTTCTTCAACTGCTAGTGTACGTGCGAAGACAGCACACAAGCTAAAGTTGCTCCTTTTTGCATCTACTAGTTT